AAGCACAGTAAACTCAAAAGATCAGAAAGAACAAGTTGAGTTTGAAAGTGATGACATCATAATCAGAGGGCCATAAGATACTCATGATAGTGGGAGTACTGAGTCTGATTTTCAGAATAATGATGAGTCTGAAGATGTTCAAGAAGACACTGTCAACTGCGAAAGTTCAGAGGATGAAGAAGAACCATTATCTCCGGTACATCCTCAACCAGTTGAATCATACTGGGTCAGGAGATCCACCAGAGTCTTTAGGCCTCCTGAAAAATACAATCCATCAGTCAATTATCTTCTTTTGACTGAGAATGGTGAACCAGAAAGTTATTTTGAAGCTATTAAGCAGAAAGATTCGTTGCAGTGGGAGCGTGCAATGAAAGAAGAAATGGGATCTCTGAACAAGAACAAAAGTTGGGTTTTAACCAAGCTTCCGCATGATAAAAAGGCGTTGCAGAACAAGTGGGTTTTCAGAATCAAGGAAGAGCATGATGGATCTAAATGGTACAAAGCCCGTTTGGTGGTCAAGGGTTTTCAACAGAAAAAGGGGATTGATTACAATGAGATCTTTTCTTCGGTGGTGAAAATGACCACCATCAGATTGGTTTTGAGTATTGTAGCTGCAGAGCGCTTACATCTAGAGCAACTAGATGTCAAGACAACATTCCTACATGGTGACCTTGATGAGGAAATTTACATGGCACAACTTAGGGTTTTCAGATTGTTGGTAAAGAAGACTGGGTCTACAAACTGAAAAGGAGCTTGTATGGTTTGAAACAAGCACCCAGGCAATGGTACCTGAAGTTTGATAACTTCATGGAGAGGGCCGGGTACAGAAAATGTGAAATGGACCATTGTTGTTATGTGAAGAAATTCAAKAGCTCCTATATCATTCTACTTCTCTATGTAGATGATATGTTGATTGCAGGTGCGGATATGAAAGAGATCAACAAGTTAAAGAAGCAAATGTCTGAAGAATTCGAGATGAAAGACTTGGGTCCAGCCAAACAGATACTCGGTATGAGYATTGCTAGAAACACGAAAGATGGCTCTTTGACACTATCCCAGGAGAAATACATCGGGAAGGTGTTAGAAAGATTCAAGATGAATGATGAGAAGACAAAACCCAGAAACACACCGTTGGGAAGTCATTTCAGGCTTACCAAAGATTAGAGGATGAGAAAGCAGATATGGCTAATGTTTCTTATGCATCTGCTATTGGTAGTCTCATGTATGCCATGGTTGTTAGTCGCTTTATGTCAAATCCGGGGAGAGAACATTGGGAAGCAGTCAAATGGCTGCTCAGATATTTGAAGGGTAATTCAAAGTTGGGATTATGTTTCAAGGGTAAAGACTCAATTCTTAAAGGATATACTGATGCTGATTTGGGTGGATGCAAAAAGACATTTAAAAGCACTACTGGGTATATTTTTACAGTGGGAGGAACAACAATTAGTTGGATGTCCAGACTTCAGAAAAGTGTGGCCTTATCAACAACAGAAGCTGAATACATGGCAGTTGCTGAAGCCAGTAAAGAGCTAGTATGGTTAAAGACTTTTCTTGAAGAACTTGGGAAAAAGCAAGCTGATTACTCGTTACACTGTGACAATGAGAGTGCAGTGAAACTTGCTAAAAATCCAGTTTATCATGGGAAAACAAAGCACATTGGGATGAGGTATCACTTTGTCAGAGGACTGATCAGTGATGGTACGATGAACTTGAAGAATATCTCAGGTGCAAAGAATCCAGNATGAAGATCACCGGGAAAATGACTGAATCTAGTCGGAGAAGATGAAGATCACCGGGAAAATGGATCTACCGGCTATTGAGGGTCTTGCCTGTCTATCTTCCTCGGCACACACACACTATCACCGGGAAGATGAAGATCACCGGGAAAAGTATATGGTTGTAGCAAATGATAAATTATATGAGGAGATGTAAAGGGTGAGATACCCAAGGAGGAATAGTTGGGGCAAAACCATGGGTATGAAAAACCAAGGAGCAAAACCATGGGGAATAGTTGGGTATTTTGATTTTAAAAAAAATGGTATGTCTTTTGGAAGATTTGCTGTAGCATAGGATGTAATTTATATTCATGTGTTAAAAGTATATGATAGTTTACAAATGGTTTAAATGATTGGATATTTCAGTTAAATGTAATTGAAATGAATTAATTCAGATTTCAGACTTCAGAAGTTTGTCAATTTATAAAAACAAACAGTCTTATTGATTCAGATTTCAGATTTCAGATGTAAAAACAAACAGTCTGACTGATTCAGATTTCAGATTTCAGACGTAAAAACAAACAGTCTGACTGATTCAGATTTCAGATTTCAGACGTAAAAACAAACAGTCTGACTGATTCAGATTTCAGACTTCAGCACCACCTCTTAAAATTCAGAAGTGAATTCAGACTTCAGACTTCAGCAACTCTTAAAAAACAAACACCACCTTAGACTACAATGAAATATGGAGCTTTATTGTAAACTTTATAACAAGGGAATAGAGATAAGTTTGCAAAATCTGCAATAACAAAACCGAATATTCATATATGAATAATTGGTATCATTATATAATGAAACTTTTTAGCTCTAATCATCACCAAAGGTCGTCTTCTTCCCTGCCAAAAAGAACGAACAAAAGGTTTTGTGAATTCAAGTTGAAAACCAAAAGAAACATGAAAGAATGAATGCATACCTGTGCCAGCAGTGGCCATGCTTGGTCTGCTAGGTCCACGGCCTCTGCCACCACGGCCACCGCCGAATCTTCCACCATCTCTGCCACCAAACCTCCCACCACGGCCACGATCTCTGCCGCCAAACCTACCTCCTCTCTCTCCACTCCTACCACCATCAAAGCCACGGCCTCCACCACGCCCAGATCCTTGACTATCGCCTCTTAGCCTACTCTCCTCCACAGTTATCGGGCAACCTCCGACTTTGGATCCGTCAAGTCCCAGTGCTTGATTGAACCCATTACTGTCTGCAAAATCGATATAAGCATACCTGCAAAAAGATGAAAACATCAAGTTCCACTCCTCATTTTCGAACTGCAGAGATATTTAAATATAACAAGATGATAAATATAAATCGTGGCTCAGTTTACATTACAAAATGTCACTACAACAAAATCGGACTTTACATAATGCCAAATATGTCTATGGGGTTGTTTGATTGGTTTTCCACCAAGTTCTGTACGCATAAAGTTGTCTGTGTAGATTAATCTGTCTATATAGATTGAAATTTTTTTTGTATGAGAGGGCTTTTTCATAGATGTAATGAGTATGTTTTTTATTGGAAGGGGCAAGTTCAGAGAAAAACTTGTCTTCCTGCATAAAGCTCCTCCTAAAAGCTTACTTAATAAGCCACTATCAAACAGTCACGTATAGCTGACCGATTAACCTGTTATACAATTGTACTGTTGGAATGTAGGCTTCGGCCCTAGCATAAAGTAAGGAGCCGGCCCTAGCCCAAAAGGAGCCGGCCATGGTCTCTACCCTAGTTTCCTTGATTAGGAGATAACCCTAATTATGTTTGTCTATATATATTAATCTCGTACTTGTAAACATTTTGTAGCACCTAAATAAAGAAAAACCTAGTTGCCCCCGTGGACTAGCACGATCAATCTGATCGTGTGAACCACGTAAATTCTTGTGTTCTTCTCTTGTTTTTGGGTTGTGCGTATTGCGTGTGTAACGTTTGTCCTAACAAGGGATACACCCTTAATTGATAGGATCCTCGAGATCTTTGATGCAATTATTGACAACTCCAGAAAATCTTCATTATTGTCTCAAATATGTCTGTGTCTACTTATTTCCATGTTTGTCTTGGCCTCCCATATCTTTCCTGATGCATCCTCTTGACACAAGTCTCCCCTTCTCAATATGCATCCAAGGATTGATGTTGGAGTTGGTCACCGTGTCTCAATAGGGTTGCTTCAGTTTCTTCTCAATCAGCGCTCTAACTTCTCGGAAGCATTTCTATTTCTAAGCCTATTCATTCTTGAGTTTATGCACATTCACCTCTTCGCTTAGAGCAAAATAAAATCTAACAATATAAAAGGGAGAATGAAAATAAATAGTCCATAAAACTTGACTCTTACGTAAATCATGCAAAATGCTTGCCTTTAAGTTATATAGCTTACTCTAATATTTTTTTAAACAATGGATAAAAGTCTACGATCTCTCTGTTTTTGCAGGTTCAAATTACATCTCAGTTTCATAAGGTCCCATTTGGAGTTGGAGTAGTGTCGGATCCGATGTCTGTGCGCAAAGGTGGGAAGAAACTACCGATGGAAGATGTTTGCTATTACCATTGGCCTCTACCTGGGGTTGATCAGGTACCAGAATTCTTTTATTTTTTGATTAACCTGGATATCCAACCCGCTATGCTAATCGGCTAATCCCATGGCGACCACCTACTTTGCGGGTAGCCCGGAGTCACCACATTTGAACCTCCGTACCAGAATTCTTTGTAACTTCACTTGAGACTTATGCTCATTATTGGAAGGGATAGTAATATTTTCCTTTTGCAGTTTGGACTGTTTGGAATCTGTGATGGACATGGTGGAGCAGCTGCTGCCTCATTTGCCAGCAAGTCAGTATTCTTTTCTTGCTCTTGGCATTTTCCCCCCTTTCTTACATCTTATTCAACTGGCATTGGTTAGTCTAAGATTGTTGGACACAAGTGGTGTCTTTGTTATTTTTTCTAGTCAATATTTTGAGAACAAGTAGTTTGGATACGCTCTCTCTTTCACACACAACCACACACGGTTTTACAGTCCACCTTTTTTGCGATCCTCTTAAAAACGCCTTCTGCGTGCATGTTCTTTGCTTTTAGATGTTGTCCATCTCCTTTGTAATTCAACAAGTTTGTGATCCTTTGCAAGGGTATTTTTGTTCATCCTCCATCTTTTTATGTTGCTTTTGCTAGGAAAAGTCTCTTTTCTGGCTTAAATGAATGCGTATGTGACCTTAAGTAAAGTATAATAGTCTAATGATCGGCCTTTGGACTCTATAGTTCTCATTATCACAATGCATCATGCCCTTGTTTGCAGCACTTCAAAGAAATATTTAAGAAAAAATTAAGAAAAATTTGAGAAAATTTGTTGGTTGCACCATTGCTAGATTAACTATGTAGCTCTTGCAACATTTTTGAAGTTCTTTATTGCATTACGCATTGGACTTTTGCTCATGAGAAGGGAATCACTAATGTTCTCAAGATTAATTGTTTATCCGTGTCAATGTTACAAAACAATAGTAATTGATCACTAGTTGTAGTAGCCTCACCTTCATCATTCGGACTTAGGCACTTAGCAATGATGAGCTTTGTTGTATATTACCACATCCTTGATCTATTGTGTTACCCTTCGTTGGTGGTTCTCCTAGACTTTCACGAACATGATGGAAATTGAAACACCCCTAAAATAGGCGACAATTTGATCCTGTGTAGCTAAAACGGATTAAGATCAAATCAAACATAATCACCCAATAAAGGGGAAATAGTATGAGAGTACAATTTAATGGAAGGTATCTAACAACCTGCCAATCTAAATCAATTCCAGATCTAGATTACAAATCAGGCGTCGCTACAATCCTCAAAAGAATAATCGTAAGTTTAGCAACTCCAAGCATGATTTCCAAGACATTAGAAATCCCAACAATGTCTCTACTGGCATGTATCGCTCCACTCAAGCCTTAGGAGCCCCACCGCTAAGAGAACCTGATATACATGTCATTTAAGAAAAAGTGTTAGGCATAACGCCTAGTGAGAACAAACAGTTATTGGATGAAGCTATAAAACATTAAATCAGAAAACATAGCTTTAATCAAGTTATTTATACAATTAACTCGCGCTTACCCTTGGAAGAGCGTTAAACAACCGAAGATGATGGAGGAGACCCGATTTACCATTCGTTATGACGGAACACATAAGTAAGCCACAAACCAATGTTATATGAGCACCGCTTACAATTAAGTAAGCATTGACATCAACCTGTCCAGTTTATAGTCGATACTAAAATAAGCTCGTGCACTTGGAAATTACATAATAATCACAATGCCTATTTCCAATTTACAATTTAGAGTTTCATTCCCTTCACATTCCATAAAAACCGATTTCTATGCCTATGTATCCATTGTATTCTAGTCATCTAAGCATATCTTATAAATATCTCATACTTTACCAAATTAGTGGTGTTTGTTTACCAATAATCATCAAATAGGTAAAATCCTCATTTCATCAACAATTTCCCAAACATATGAGCTCTATGGTTTGGTTCCAAGAACCCATAGAGACGTTGAAATAATTATCTCCCAAGTATTTTAAACCATTCCCCACACTTGTTTTTATCAAAGATATGTAAACCCCCGAAATTTCCATTTGTGACTTAGATGGTCCAAATGCAACCAAATGTGAAATCTATGAAATAAAAGATTTAAGGGACTAATATACATCATTTTAACCTGTATATGGTTTAATAAAAGAGTAGGATGGACTCACTATGCTAGGTTTTGGGTGAAAACCTAGAAGTTACGGAAAACCCTTGAAATGAGGATGAACACTAGGATCTTGAACTCTACCCTTGAATCCTTAGCTTAGATGGTGAATGAACCTCTTTAAATGGTTGGAGTAGTGGAGTAAATGCTCTAAAAAATCGGAGTTAATGAGGAGGGATGGGAGGGTTTGAGAGGAGAATTGTTGGTGTTGAGTAAATGAGGGAAAAAGGCCAAATTCTGGGCCTTTAATGTGCATTCCAGAGCCTCCCGCAGCTTAGGCCGCGACATTAATCGTCCGCGCCCTTTAGACCAAAACCACACAGTGAGTCTTGCAGTTTTAGCGGTGGCCTTACCTGCATGGCTACTCGTGGGACTCACTGTCCTAGTTCCAAACTTCCCCTTTTTCTAGTTTATCAAGGCCCTGTTTAAACTCAACTCAAACTACTAACATCAATGAAAAGTAAAGGTATATCAAAGCCGAGACCCACAAGCTAAATATCAAATTAACAAAAATGACAAATTTTTTAGGGTGTTACAGAAATGGAGTATCGTGCCGGCAGGATCCCTATAAAGAAAGGCGCACAAAAAGAGAAACAGAACTATGCATGATTTTCCACATACTAGAGTAAAATGGATGCAGCTTGGGATTTTATGTGTCACAGTTACGGCTGTAAACGAACAAAACGAACACGAACGGAGGCTTGTTCATGTTCGTTCAACTTAACCGAACAAACGAACAAACATGAACGGTAAACAAACGAATATCTTTGTGTTCGTGTTTGTTCGTTTAGAAATCAGGTGTGTTCGTGTTCGTTCGTGTTCGTTCATGTTCGTTCATTAACATGCTAAACGAACGAACATAAACGAACGGGCTAAACGAGCATAAACGAACATAAACGAACAGGATAAACGAACATACATAAATATTATTTGAATTCAAAGTAAATAAACAAAATATTATATATTAAATTTAGTATATAAACGAACATAAATGAACGAATATAAACGAACGGTAAATGGAGTCGTCACTCGGTTGTTTTGGGTTTGTCTTCTCTTCATCTTCCTTGCTCTCTAGAGTTTGACCTTCAAGAATGTGATGTAATTGGATCAAGAATTTACACAGTGAAGTCGTCACCCGGTTGTTTTGGTATCATTTATTTTCTTTCGAGAGGGGAGTGCTTTCCCAGAATTCAATTACAAATTGACAGAGTAAATATTCCAGACGCCCCTTTCTCTACTTAACACTCTCACACTTTCACTACAATTTGTTACAAAGACCCTAAGTGACTGAGGGATAATGGACACACCATTAATTCATAGAAAAAGACTGAACTATCCTTTGTTCTTCTAAGAGTAAGTATCCTTAATCTTCTTTGCATCAATAATTACCCGCCAAAGCCGCACCTTGTCCTCGAGGTGAAAATCGGGGGTGTACCAGTTGATAATCTTCCGATGATGATTCAAATGTTGGCAGCCCTTGCCACTTGATCAACACTTCCAGTTCTCCTCTAGCCTCAATTCTACAATTCAGCAAGGATTTCGGTGCCACTATCAGCTCTCCTTTCGTCATTTGAGAAGGAAGGTCTCCAGCCGATAGAACTTCACCCAACACCGGCCTGAGCTGAGAAGCATAAAAAACTGAATGAATCTTTGCTGAAGGTGGCAAATTCAATCCGTATGCTACTTTGCCCAACCTTTCTGTCACTTCGAATGGACCATAGAATCGAGCAGAAAGTTTCTTATTGGCTTGTATTCGCAGCGATCGTTGTCTATATGGCTGTAATTTCAGGAACATCGGGGCACCCACTTTAATTTCTCTCTCTGTTCTGTTTTTCCATCTGCTTGGTCTTTCATACACTGCTGGGCTTTCAACAATTGTATTCTCAAATCATCAAGGAACACATCTCTCTCCTTTAACATGTCTTCTACCGTTTGTAAGCTCGCCGACCCTTCACCGTACTTTAGGATTGTTGGAGGTTCTCTCCTGTACAACACTTGGAAAGGGGAACATTGCAATGATCGATGGAATGTTGTATTATAGGAGTATTTGGTCCATCCCAACCATTGCTTTTATTTCTTAGGATGTTCCGAAACAGAACATCTCAAATATTGCTCTATACAACGATTTACAACTTCGGATTGGCCATCCTTTTGAGGATGATAGGCTGGCTTTGTTCCTAACAACGCATACACTTCCTTCCAAAAACGACCAACACAAATCTTGTCTCGGTCCGAGACAATTATTTGCGGTACACCATGGAGTTCTATAATTTCCCTTGCGAAAACAACCACTCCTTGAGCATCAAAAGGATGTTTTAAAGCAACAAAATGAGGATATTTACTCAATCGATCCAGCACCACCATGATCATATCCATCTTATCTGACTTCAGTAACCCCTGGATAAAATCCATAGCGACTTCATCCGAGACTTCCAATGGTAAAGGAAGGGGTTATAATAGCCCAACCAAAGATCCTCCTAAAAGTTTGTTCCATTGGCAAATTTCACAACCTTTCACAAACTCCTTTATATCCTTGCACATTCCCAGCCAAAATAGTTCAGCGGCTATCCGTTGAAATGTTCGATTAATACCCGCATGTCCGCCAACCGGAGAAGCATGAAATTCCTCCAATAACGTCTTGAGAATGGATGATGACTTTGATGACACCAATCTGCCTTTGTACTACAATAAGGATTGTCGTAACTCGAACCCTTTATGCACGGTACTTCCCTCCTCAAGTTTGAATTTTTTTTTTGCCCAACACAACATCCTTTTGAGTCTCGTCTTTAAGTACATTCCAGTGCCTCCATTGTGGACCGCCCATGACTGCACATTCAACTCCATTCTGGACAAAGCATCCGCTGCGAGATTATGTTTGCCCACCTTGTACACAATGTCAAAGTCATAACCCACGAGTTCCATCACCCACATCTGATATTGATGATCTACGACTCTTTGTTCAAGCTAGTACTTCAGACTTTGTCGGTCTGTCCGGATGATAAACTTCCTTCCTCACAAGTACACCCTCCATCGTGTCACCGCAAAAACGATCGTCATTGATTCTTTTTTCATAGATAGCTTTTTGTCTAGCTTGTATCCCCAACGTTTGGTTGTAAAAAGCTATAGGTCTGCCTTGTTGCATCAACGTTGCTCCTAAACCTCCTCCCGAGGCATCTGTTTCGATGACAAATGGTTGATCAAAATTGGGTAATGCTAATACCGGTGCTTCGGTCATAGCCTTCTTCAACGTTTCAAAAGCCGCTTGAGCAGTGCTGTTCCATTCAAACTTACCCTTCTTCAACAAATCCGTCAAAGGTTGAAATTTGGGCAGATCCTACCACAAATTTCCGATAATAACCGGTTAAACCAAGAAACCCGTGCAAGTGGGTGATATTTTTTTGGTATGGATCATCGTAGCATAGAATCCACCTTTGACTTGCCCCTTGCTAGCCCTTCTCCCGAAATGATATGGCCTAGATATCCCACCTGTTGCATTCCAAATTCACATTTCTTGTTAGCATAAATGTGAGGTGATTTCAATACCTCTAATGTTTGTCTCTGATGTTCACAATGCTCAGCTTCAGATTTACTGTAAACCAATATGTCATCAAAAAAACAAGCACAAACCGTCGCAAATATGGTTTAAAAATATTGTTCATCAAAGATTGGAAGGTTGCTGTCAGTCCGAAGGGCATCACTAAAAATTCATAGTGTCCCTTGTGCATCCTAAACGCTGTTTTGTACACATCTTCATCTTTTATCCAGATTTGATGATAACCCGCCATCAAATCCAACTTTGAAAACCAGCTCGCGCCGCATAACTCGTCCAACAACTCGTCCAACAACTCATTGATAATAGGAATGGGAAATTTATCTGGAACCGTTTCCTTGTTCAAGGCTCGATAGTCTATGCAAAACCGCCAATTACCGTCCTCCTTGTTGATCGACAACACCGGGCTCGAAAACGAACTTCTGTTGTGTATAATTATCCCTGCCATCACCATTTCTTTGACCAACTTCTCAATTTCATTTTTTTGGTATTGCGGGTGATGGTAAGGCCTCAGATTTATTGGTTGAACGCCATGCTTCAACTCAATTTTGTGTTCAATTCCCCTAATTGGTGGAATTCTTTGTGGTTTTTTAAAAACTTCAAATTCCTCCACAACATTTCGGACAGCTTTTGGACATTCATGACCGATCTTCATTTGCATGTCCATCTAGCCCAATTCAATAATCACCCCCTGACCCTCCTGCTTGATGGTCTTTATCATAGACCTCAATGAAACCAACGTTCTCCCCAAGGATTCATCTTCTTTTAGCTTAACTTCATTTCAAACTAAAACTTCATTGTTTGGGTACAGTTCACCTGCATCCTTCCAAGAGATTGTAACCATTGGATTCGTAATATGATGTCTGAATTTCATAACTCTAGTGGTAAGAAATCCTCAAAATTTTTTGACCGTTGCATCCAAACTCGCACTCCTTTGCATTCTCGCCCTTTCAGTCCACTCCCTGCACCCAAAGAAATATTATAACCCCCGTATGCTAACTCCATTTTTCCACCAAAGTCGAGGAAATGAAATTATGTGATGCTCCACCGTTGTTCAATATTACCACCTTCTGATCTTCCACCATCCCTTCCAACTCCATTGTTTTTGGTGTAACAAAGCCTACAACAGAATGCAGAGACACCGCTACATTCAACTTCGGGTTCATGTTAGTCAATTTTGTGTGGTCTTCACTGCCTTCCTCCTCTCTTGCACCATCACGACACTAAGTTCCTTCATCTTACAACGATGTCCCGGGGAGTATTTTTCATCACAACGATAACATAACCGTAGTGCTCTTCTTAACTGTAATCCTTTATTTGTGAGCTTTCTGAATCCCGTACCTCCTTTGTTGGCAGATGGTTTCAATTCACCTTTGTCTTCTGGATTCACATCCCCTGTTTTTTTTAATAAGTGTATTCAGGGTTTAAATCTGTTTATAACCTTATTTCTTTCTTTAACCATGCCAGCCACATCCATTGCTTTATTTAATCCCGTCGGTTACAGTAATCTTACCTTTGCTCGAATTTCCAGTAGTAGTCCGTTAATAATTTGACTCGCATAAATTTCTTCCGAAATTCCTTTGAGTGGTGTCGCCATGGTTACAAATCTGCGCTTATACTCCAACACTGTCGTTGTTTGCTTAACAACCAAGAACTGTTCACATAGACTTCCTTTTCCCACCGTGCAAAATTGTGACAACAATAATGCTTTCAACTCCTCCCAACGTGTGATTGGCCTCAGCTTATCTTTCCACTGATGCCATTTAAGTGCATCGCCTTCCAATGAAAGCAATGCTACCTCCATTCTTTTTTCATTACTTGATCGATTAAAAGAAAAATACCTTTCAGCTCTTACGATCCATGAATCAGGATCAGTGCCGCTAAACACCAATATCTCCAATCGTCTCCCCTTGATTGCTAGAAACGACCCATGCTCCGGTGGTTGGTCTTTGTGACGTGGTAGCCTCTCTCCATCCACTGATGTTTCCTCTCCGTTTGATTGTCTGGTCTCCTCTTGCAATCGAATTAGGGTATTCAATTACTACGAAATGTTTTTCTAATTCTCTTCCACCGACGCGAATCTGGCCTCAATTTCATCCATTCTAGACGTAATCGATCTCGTCATCCTCCCAAGAACGTATATTTGATACCAATTAATGTAATTGGATCAAGAATTTACACCAGTGAAATCGTCAGTCGGCATCATAAGTCGGCTGCTGGTAATATTTATTTACTTTCGAGAGGGAAATGCTCTCCCAGAATTCAATTACAAATTGACAGAATGAATATTCCAGACACCCCTTTCTCTACTTAACACTCTCACACTTCTACTAAGATCTGTTACAAAGACACGGATCCCTAACTGACTAAGGGATAATGGACACACCACTAACTCATAGAAAAAGACTGAACTACCCTTTCTTCCTCCTAGAGGAAGAATACCTGATCATCTTTGCATCAGAATGCCATAATGCACCTGAAATAGGCAGAAGAATACATGCAAAACATGATGCTTCCAGCTGTCCGCGGATTCACGTGCTCATCACAGTGATGAACAAAGTGACCACTTTCTGCAGTCCAACATTTAACCCAAAAACGATACGTTCAACCATTAAACTACAAATTTTATCCTCGACAACTCTAAATGAAAATAAATAAATAAAGAAGAGAAATACGAACACATACATAGGAGACAAACACTAAAAATGGAAGAAAAACACACAAAAACTATGTGTAAGTAACACTCAAAGTGAGAGTTATTAGTAGCTCAGGCGGCGGGGGTTCTGGATGAATGTTGCGGAACTAGCGTCTAGACAACCCTTCTAATTGCATTAATTTTTCCCCTAAGATACCCACCATGGACTTTAAAAGGCCTCTACCACCTTTTTTTTCTTCTTCATAGTTTTGTCTTTTCTTCTCAACCCTCCACATGTCTACTATTTGAAGGGGGTTGACACTACAAGAATCGCCGCATAACCCAATGTATTTTAGTGTAATACTGGTTATGAAAATTATCAATTGTTGTGTCATCGTACAATGTTTAGTGACTACACCGTCTGTTGTTTCCTTGTTTTATTCAAATGATTTTTAATACTAATACAACAACCAACTTTTTATCCTAAACTAGCGCGGGGCCTAAAAATGAAATCCTAACTGGACCATTGCATGCACTCCTATTTAAGGCCAGTCTGATTTGGTATACCCCACCCGCTCATATTTTTTTAGCTATTTCCCCTACGGCAAGCTTTATGTGTTGTAACCCCTTATGACTTCCATCTCTCAGGACAAATGTCCTTTTCATACTTTGTTTTTCACTGTCTGACCAAACCATCTGAAGTAGTGTTGTCTCGACTTCTCCTCGATAGGTGCCACCTCATGTTTTTCACGTCTATCATCATTTCCATTCTTATCCATCATTGTGTAGTGGCACATTTTTATTGCTATACTCATCATGCATGTATGCATGCTGTCATTTGGTAGACCTTGTAAATTGTAGCATGCATTGTCCAATCAATTAAGACTCTTGAAGCTTGTCACTACTCCCTTTACTCTTATCTTATGGCTAGCATTCTCAGTTTGATCTCTATTCTTGTGTTTTTTGATCCAAATGGCAGAAAAATACTTGGCAGAGGCTTTTCTTCCTGGCATGCTTGCCACAGCTTTGACTTCCGTGGCAAGACAGCTAAGGTTGCAAAGGGTGTACTCAGTTCTAGATTCCAAGGCACTTCTCTGTACCTGTAGGCTGTAACTTTGCATGATATCTTGCTTAAGGCCTGTTTGTTAGCAGCTTAATAGGACTTGCAACTTATTCGGTCAGCTATAGATGACTGTTTAGTAGTGGCTTAATGATACAAAAAGTGGCTTATTCAGTAAGCTTCTAGGGGGGCTTTATGCAGAAAGTCAAATTTTTTCCAAACCTGCACCTCCATATTAAAAAACACGCTCCTTCCATCTATGAAAAAAACCTTCCCACCAAAAACCTTCCCAATCTATACAGACAACTCTATCCATATCTTGTATACTTGTATATGAATAAAACAGATTATTATCATATCTCACAATGTACTAAAAGATTTTTTGTGAAAAATTATGGCATCCAATATTTTTAATGTGCCACAATTTTTATCCCATGTCCATGCTTCTTAGAGCCTATATAGGAAATGTTATCTTCAAATTTTCTAGTTAGAGTTGATAATTAGGTTAAGTAAACCATATTTCCTTTTTGAGAGGCATTGTCATCATTTAATAATTTGGATGTGGAGTAATGGATATATTGCAATATAACAGAGACTATGCTATTATTTTGCATCAACACTTGGTCATTCCCAAATAGATTACCGCACGACAGCTCTATTTAAAAATTTTGCTTGTATTTCACCAAAGTTTTATAGTTTGCATGCATCTGCTTCCATCCCCTCACACTTGTTATGCAATCTTGGAAAGACATCAGCAGTTGTTCATCCATTCTGCAAATTTAATTTATACTTTTGAATAAATTCTGTTTGCAGAATAATGCCTGAGATGGTTACTAGAATCTTATCAGATACTTTCAGAAGAGAGAAGGTTTTTTCACATTGTGATGCTTCAGATGTCCTTAGAGAAGCATTCTCTCAAACAGAAGCACATATGGACCACTTATATGAGGTTTTATTTTTCGTTACATATAACCCTATTTTATCTGTAGTCTGTACATATCTGAATGTCTTTAATGTTTTATGTGGAGCACCCCTTTTAGATATTTTCAGTTCTTGCTATATGTTTAGACAATGGTTGCACTCGAGATCAAACACTGAATGATGAAATACACTGTTTAGATGAACCACCACTCAACCTTTTGTTCATTCTCTAACAGACATATTGTGTAAATTTGAAAGTGTCACACTGTAAAGTTTTTATTTCGATAACATAATGAGATACAATAATGTGGAGGTCAAGAAAAAAACAGATGGAATTTCGCTGGAACTGATAGTTTTCTAGTAAACTATAGGATGAAGTAATTATAAATAATTAGCAATTTATTAGAGTTTGTGCTTATGTTGATTAATTGTATTTTGTAGTGAAATTAGGAATGATCCAAGTTATATTTACTTTATGTATGCTTTATTTTAATCATCTTTGAATAATAGGAACACATATTGTTATAATTTATTATTATGTATTTAGTGGTATCCTGGCTCCTACTTCAGAAGCTCAATTTGAAATTAATGCTGAAAATAATATTTCGTCATGGAGTTAATTATCAAAAAAACATTTCACTTTGATTTGATTGATAAAAGGGCAGTGTGTTGTTACCTTGACACTTGATGAAATATGCTATGCTATTCTATGCTATTACTGTGGTCAAAATACAGAATATTGGTCAGGACCGATATTCGATATTCGGTTATGTCGGTGATATATCGGTCCAAAATAGCGGTTAATATATTTCTTAGAATTATATATATATATATATATGTGTGTGTGTGTGTGTGTGTGTGTGTGTATTATATGTATGCATCCATAAACATATCATATGCATTAATTAGAGTTTACAAATATAGTTTCAAAATCAAAACATCACATAAACAAGTCTCACAAAACAAAATAGGAAAAGTGTTAAAAAACGAGCTAATCGCAAGCAATAGGTTTGGCATCCGAGTCAACATCATCTAATACGTTCACTTCTTCGTTTAGGTTAGCTTCTCAATCTTCCCCTTCTCCCCCTTCTCCCTTTTACTTCTTGTAGCCAAATTGTTCATTACATCCCATTGCTTCTCATACATCCGACCAAAGGAGGCCATCTCTTGCATCCACAAACTCTTGGAGCTCAACGTCGGTTAGAACCACCCAATCATCATTTTCTTCGACATCTCTCAAGAAAATAAGATTTGAAGAGTTGTTATACTTAAGAGATTTGTAGCGCCTTTCCAATCTTTTGTTATGTTGAATGAAGACAAGATCATTCAACTTCTTTTGCCAAAGGCAATTTCTCTTCTTAGAGTGCAACTGAATGATAATTGATAAATTTAAAACCATAACTTGAATTAAAGTTTCATTTGAGTTAGAAAGAGACAGAGAAGAGAAGAGACCGAGAAAAGAAAAGAAGCCAGACCGTGAAGATGAAAGAGACCGAGAAGAGAAATAAGCGTGAACTATGAAAGAACCGAGAAGAAAAGAAGCGTGAACTGTGAAGAACCGAGTAGAGAAGAAGCGTGAGACCTAATATATGTGTTGACTAGTTGACCAAATAAAGAGGCCCAAAAAATTATGCCTAACATGTAATAAAAAAAGCTCAAATATTTGCCTCATAGAAAATCGGTATATTGGACCGATTTTTCCATCAATATCGGTGAAATATCGGTAAATATCGGCGATATTATTGGAACCGATATTTTGACCGATATTTCACCACGGATATTTTTCCAAAGATCGATATCCGATATATCGCCGATATATCGCGATTTTAACAGCATAGATGCTATTATCTTTTGTTATATGTTGTGTGAACGTAGTTTTGGTCTTTTGTCATGTACTAATGAAACCGTTTTCAGGGTTGTACTGCAACAGTACTTCTTATTTGGGCTGATGGTCATGACAACTACTTTGCACAATGTGCTAACGTTGGGGATTCAGCTTGTATTGCGATGTATGTCTTTTGCCATATGCATTGATATGTATGCTCATGTTTTTTTTTATCATGATGTGTTGTATTTAGTGAAAACCCCGAGTCTGCTGATGTCCATGCTGCATCTTTAACAAGGTTTTTATGAATGTGTTTATTCAGTAGGAGAGGAGTCTTGTACCTTTCTAAACAAGAGATGTTAAGGCAATCAATCCTTCCTCCTATATAGGGATCTGGGCTTCGATCCTGTCGAATCTGTTTTCGGACAAGTTTTATCTTAGACCACAGGGTTCTCTCTTTGTCAGTTCTTATGACCACTAGGATAATTTTGAAAGTGCACATTGGATGATTTTATGTGGCAAACCACTGCCTTTTTGCTTTGAATATATAATGCAAAATATAAATGAATAACAACTTTCAAATTAGTGTCTACTTTTACAATATCATGTTGTTGAGTACAAGCTTAATATATTTTAATAGTGTATGTGTAGATAGGCATGAGGACATATTTAGGGCCCATTTACTAAACATTTACCTTGGTACGCGTTTACGAGATGAACATAACAAGGACTGAGAATCTTACCTGGTAAGAGGGATGGTAAGGATCGAAAGTCTTACCCGACAAGTGAGAGTGATAACTCTTACCCAATAAGCGCTTACCGGGTTGTAAATGCTTACCATAAATCCATTTTGATGGCAAGGAATGTTACCCCACAAGGTACTTTGAGAGTAGTGACTATTGCCGGTAAGTGCTTACCCGGTAAGCGTTTGGTAAAGCCCCTTAAGGGCCGTTTACCCAAATGCTTATCCGGTAAGCGCTTATCAATAGGAGTCAACATATGGAATGCAACAATTTACTTGATAAGCGCTTATGTGGGTAAGAGTCGTCATCCTCACTTACCGGGTAAGACTCTCCATCCTTCTCATCGCTCTTACCCGGCAAGATTCTTGGCCCTTCTCATGTTCATCCGATGAGAAAATTTATCCGGTAAGCACTTACCAAGTAAGTGTTTAGTAAACGGCCACTTAGTTGATTTTGGTAACGTTTGTTTATTCATTTATCTTGTAGATCTTCCTTTCACTTCTAATCTATTTATAGTTTATAAAAGATGATGTCAATTTTCTCAAATGCTTTAAAATATGGTTTTCTTTTTTTCGCTACCAGTTGGGTCTCTCTCCTAGCCCATACGAAGTATTTTAATCCAAGGATTTTGTTCTTGTACTTAATTATGATGTCTACTTAGTATGGTTTTTTCTGTAGCAACTTATGATGTTATGTATACATGATGTAATGCTGAGTGTGGGATGTTTATAAATCTACTCCTAGGATCTTTTTGGTATTTAAGTTGATTTGTAGCTCAATCTTTTGTTACACTTTCACATATGCAACTGTTCTTTGCTAATAGGAAGGCGTTTCTTAATTGAAGCATATCTAGGCCATACAGTTAGGAACACCTAGAGCTCGGTGTTTTTTCTGTTGGGATTTAGATGTATTCCACGTCCCAATAATCTCACAAAGTGAGTCCAAAGCCAACAACCAATGCGGAACAAATAGATCTTATCTTGGTGTGTTCAACAAAAACGAAACCAAATACATGAAAATGAAATGCAAGCATAAATAAAGGATAATCACTGAATTTATGTGGTTCCACTATCAATGTGATAGTATATGTCCACACAAAGGAAGGAGGATGATATTCACTATGAAAACGAATAGAGAGTACAAACTACAAAGGATGCTACCACACTTACAAATAGCAAACCTCTCTATTGGATGAACTAAGTGTTGCTCTCACTACTCAAATATGCTCACAAGAGTGATATTTCTAATTGTGTGGGAAATGTTCCAAATGGGTAAGGGTGATAGGTGTTTATAGGCACAAGGATGACATTTCATTTCCCAAGGAATCTTCTAGAAGGTACTACCCGTCTCCCAATAGATTTATCTAGAAAATATCTTCCCAAAGATTCCTCTAGAAGATGTCTCCTCCCAAAAGATTTCTCTAGATATCTCCTCCCAAATTTAGTTGTAGAAAGTGTACTGTGAGTTTTGCATCACATTTTAACACTTCCCTAGGTATTCAATTTTCTTTTAAGCACTCCATATTTTCTTTTAAGCACCCCATATTTTTTTGAGCATCCCATGTTTCGATCATTGCTATAAGTGCCGTGATGCCATGGGATTTTGAGACCTAGGAGCTGTTTGTGGTCTCGGAACATCTTGTTTTCAGGTTGCAGTTATTCAGACTTCAGAGTGCCTTTAGCCAACTATCTTTCTAGATGTTACCTGTTTATTGAAAGTCTTATCATTTCCTATATTATTATTTTATTTTCTAATCTGATGTCATGTGACTATCTTTCTAGACGCTACCTGTTTTTGAAGGTCTTCTCATTTGCTCTATTTTCTTGACCCCACTCTATTTGGATTTAGTAATATAGCTATTAACTTGTGACACAAATATCCTTTGCTTTGGTGATGTCATGTGTTCCACATTTGCTTTTCTCTTCCCTTTGCGTAATTGTTTTTTATGTTTGTATTTTGTTTTTGAGCTGTCATGCAAAGTTATCGTGGAACATTATACTTAGGGCAGGTAAAATCTAATCTATATGGCTTTCTTCATCCTCACTGGTTTGTCATTATTGTTTTTCCAGGCACTTAATTATTTGGTTAATTCACTAAACATAAAGATGGCTATTTCTTGTTAATATAAGTGTTGATGGGGCCGGTTGGGGTTGCCGGTAATCAAAGTGTTGAAGGACTTTAAAGTACCTCTGTGTATATATATATATATATATTTGCTAACTGAGGGATGTTATAATGTTAGTTATGTTACTGTTAAGCCTCCCGTGAAAGGGGTGTAATTGTAGTATGTGTTCTGCAGTGTTGAAGGGCAGCAAGTTAAGATAACAGAAGACCATCGAATAGCCAGTTACACCGAAAGATTGCGGATGCAAGCAGCTGGAGAACCTCTTAAAGACGGCGAAAAACGACTATGCGGTAATTGAGATTTTGTTATTCACTCAAGTATTTTTTTACTAAATTTGTCACTCATTCAATCAGCAAATTCAATACATGTTCAGGTTTAAACCTTGCTCGAATGTTGGGAGACAAGTATCTTAAGCAGCAGGATGCTCGATTCAGTTCTGAACCTTACATAAGTCAGGTGGTGTACATGAAGTCTGAAAGCCGGGATTTTGCTATAATGGCTAGGTAAAAATTAATTCACTCTTTCGTTTGCTAAAGTGTCTGTAACAACCCACAATTTCCAAATACAGATAATCCACATACACATATTCATAACACAAATTGTAATATTATTACAGAACATGGGCTAACAAAAATTTTCTAATATACATTTATGAGTGACTAAATTTCATCGTTTAAACTTTCCCCTTTCCTTTGTCCTATGATGTATGATGACCTACAAAACAGGTTAGTCCAACTACTGAGCATTAGACCAAAAGGTCTAGTGAGTGTACGAATCTCATACCAATAACTTACATTCCAAACTAACAGTTTTAGAATTAAACCTGTACAGATACAAACATTTTATCTATAATTGTATAGAATTAAACCTGTACAGATACAAACATCTCTCTCGCGGTTACACCGCCATTACATCTCTCTCGCGGTTACACCGCCATTTCATCTCTCTCGCGGTTACACCGCCATTTCATCTCTCTCGCGGTTACACCGCCATTACATCTCTAAACCAAATCGAAATAAAGTCCAAGCAACTTTAGCCGGATTTGAAGTCCGGTCAACATTGTCCGGATTTGAAATCCGGACAAATACTTAGGATGCAAAGAGAATAAATCGGACATAGCATGAGCGATTTAGCTTAAATCCGTTTAACCCTTCGGTGATTTAGAACATTCACCGGATAACATATGAACGGTTTAATGGAAATCCGGTCATCCCTTGGGTGGTTTAGGGTTAATCCGGTCATACCTTGGGAGGTTTAGATGAAATCCGATCAATATTTATCCGGTTTAAGATAGATATCCGGCCACTTTTCGTCCAGTTTAAGGAATACCCGTGCAATATGCATTGCAGTTTATAAAGAACAAGTTTCAATAGCAATTGAATTATTGTGCAACAATTAATACACCAAAGCTTAATACTGCAATGCATATTAAGAAATCTTAGTTTTATGATTCCTCCCTTTTTAGCCGATGTTGAGAAGGTAAATTATAGAGTGTGTTTCAAACCTGAGCCAAGCCCTTTTTCTTTCACATACACTTGCTATAAATAGCAAGTGTATGGCCGCCTTTACCAAGGCCAGCATTTGGAAGCTCCATCCTCACACCCACCTCATGCTTACTTCAACATAAAGAATATTTAAAATAAAAATAAAAATTCTTCAAAATACTTAAACCGAATATTACAGTGTCCACTTGCATATTACATAAATATAAGTTTCTTTTTCTCTACCACTAGTTTTTGTTGCTCTCTAATTGTTATTGCATCTGTGTTCATTTTCTATCATTACAAATATTATAGTTACAGTGAGCCCCTGCCTTTTGATTGTTAACGAAATAGGATCTTTATATGTTTTGTGTGCACACAGCACATTGCTGATCGAATGTTCATTTGCTTGTGGATTTAACAATGTCATTAGTCTATCTGAAGAAGAATTCACAACAGTTGAACTTGAAAGTAGGGATGTGATTGTCTACCCTAAATTGTTTTCTTCCATGACGAGTACTTGAGAACTAGCTTCATGTTTCTAATAGATTCCTTTGAGTATTAGCTTATTTAATACTTTCTAGGCAAGAGCTCATGTATATGATAGATTTCTGCCTTTCCTTCTCTCTTCTTATTTTTATGATTCTCTTGTAGCATGAGTTTATATAAGAGTTGTACAAGAAGTGATAAGGCTTATCCAACAAAAGGAGCTAGGGTTCCTAGTGTTATTCCTCATGCTTTTTGTCATGTATGCATGGAGCTACACCTACTAGATTGCCAACGATGCATGGTTTCAGACAACCTATAAGACCTTGCATTGCTCTAGAGTTAGCCACAGAGTTCTAGGATCTCTTGTATCATGTAAAAACTTACTGATATTTGTGGTAGGCTAGAATTTGTGTGGTAGAACCTAGAATATGCTTAGGGGTTGGAGGATCCTATAAAAGTTCGATGGCTGCTAATTTTAATACAAAAGTTGAATTTCAAGAGAGAACAGAGAAAAAAACGTAGCAAGGATGACTTTATAGCCTTCCCTCAAGGATGATTTAGATTAAGTAGGACGGTTGACTGCAGCACTATATGCAAATTTGAGGAAAACTAAGTTGTATTGCATGTATTACAACCGTGTTCCAAGAATGTTGATGAGGCATTCATTGCTATGGAGATTTGTTGGCACGGTGTTTGCGCTGAGAAGTCTTGGGATTTGTTTTATTCATGGAGGTTCATCACCATCACAAGGTAGTGACGGCAAGTGTTTAAGGGATGTCTTGACTAGCTTGAGCAAGAGTTTGAAGTTGACAATCGTGAAATAGGGGAACAGACAACTATCTGAGCTAGCCACATCATGGGACTGCTGGCATGCTATGGTGCCACGAGGATGCAGCTTTGCAGAGCAAGGTGCTTCATGCTTGAAAAGCATAGCATACATCTAAGCTCAAACAGACTAGATGCAAATTCTTGTGTGTGTTGATGTGTTGTTCATAGGCTTTATCTAGCATTCCTTTAAGGCTAACTTAGCTTGATTTGGTCGGTGTTGGCTCTAAGCTGCACTTAGCATAGACTCAAAGTAGGATTGTGATGACTTTATGGCTTGTGCAAGGCCGCAAAGATCAAACAAAAAACTGCAACTTTAGAACGAAACTGGAATAAGGTTTATTTAATTTTTATCATCTTAGTAAAATTATATTTAAGTACAAAATACACGTAAAACCTTGTAATTCTCATAATTATGTTTTTAACACGTACTTTAATTATTCTATTAGAATTATAACTAATTAATAATATCCTAAACATATGATATTATTCAGGTTTTTGATTATCCAATACTCATATTGAAACACGCGTATTCTTTGTGTGCAATCCTATAGGTTGATGTACTCTTTAGCCGTATCACTGTCTGACGCGTGTTATGGGCATAAAGAACTTACAGAGTCCACAATTGAGATTCGAGCAACTAAGGGAGTTATTTTTAGTTCAAAGTTCTTTGAACTATTACCATAGTGTAGGAATAGATTGGGCAATAAAACTAGTGAAATTTTAATTTTGGTGGAGGAGGATTAAAAGAAGTAATGACTTTTGTTGCTGAAGCCCAAGTCATAATTTTAAGACTATTTGGACTTTTTGAATAAATTTGGTGATTACAATGCATTTATAGAGTTATTCGTTGACTTGGTTGTTTGCATTTGGTTAAATTGAAAGAAGCTTATACTAATATGGTAAAATTGGATGCATGCAGTGATGGGTTTTGGGATGTTGTTAATCCTAAGAAGGCCATCCAACTCGTTCATCAGGTTACTTACATTTTTACTCGGAAACCAATTATTGTCGAGTAATAATGTGATTGTGAGTTAACTTTGGTTTTTGTGGTGCAGATAAGAGAGAGGAATTGCGACGATGCTTCAGCAGAAAATATTGCAAAATTGTTGTTGAGCGAGGCAAGAGCACAGCGTACAAAGGACAACACGTCTATAATTTTCTTAGATTTCGACACGAATCACCACCACGACATGATGATGGATCATGAGGCATAGGATAGAATAGAATAGAATAATAAAGTTGACTTGTTATTTATTATGTATGTGTAAAATATCATAGATAACACTCCCGGTGGATTGGAAGGGAAGGTGCTGATGTGTCGATATAAGGAAAATTGCACCAACAGTTTAGTTGAGGTGGGGGGAGTTGAGTTGAGTTGAGTTGAATGAATCACAATCTGTTAGTCTAGTTCTAAGGTTACTATGTTACAGAAAACGTCATAGTGAAATTAAAGCCTCCTTGAAACTTTTGTGGCAACTCTTGATGCCTGATATTGTTAAGCTGGGACTGAAATGGATCCTTTGGGGATGTTACCGTCTTGATTGGATTTCATCTATTTGCTATTTTGATATAATTATCTCACCAACTATAGTATATAGTAGACTCATCTATTTGCTACTTCAGTCAGTTATTCACATAATTTTGTAATTTCTTATACGTTACCTAACAAAAACAAACCTATATTCATAGGAACATGACACCACAAGAAAATAGTGTACTAAACTGCACAGATGTAATTCTTATGATCTTGGCCTCTCTTGCTAACAGAGTTGATAAAAATCTGTTATACTAGTTAACTCTTGTGACATTTTGGTTATTTTTACACTTATCTGTTTTTTGGTTTTTTCCTTTTAAAACATATATTACATAATACAATATAGCATCTTTTCTTTTATTAGAGGAGCGATCAATTGCAAATTTTCTTTTATTAGAGGAGCGATCAATTGCAAATCACCATCATTTGTGAAAACCCTACAAATTAATCTCATATATCCATTTTCTTGATCATTGGTCAAAATTATATAGTGTTATATTAAGAAATTAAAGAAAAAGAAAAAAAAGTTTAATTTTTATTTAAAAAAAGGCAAGAATCACCCATATGAATCTGTTTCATCGTATGAAATTGTATTTTATCATTGTCCTCTTCATTGTATGTAACTATTTCATTGAATGAAACTGTATTTCATCATTGTATGCAACTATTTCATTGTATGAAAAACATTATTTCATCACTGTATTAATCTATATTTCTTAACTAGATGAACATGTATTTCTTCATGGTATGAATCTGTTTCATAGTATTTATTCACATGTGTGAATCTGGTTCACTGTATGAATCTGTCGTCTTCATTGTATGCAACTATTTCACCGTTTCACCGTTTTATATTTAAAAATAATTGATTTACATCTTCCATATAAACGATTTCTATATTTACGTTTCCATATTTAAAAATAATTAAATCATTTCCAATATTATATTTAAAAACAATTGATTTACACTTTTCATATAAATCATATTCCAATATTAACCATTTTACAATAAAATGACAATTATACCCTTATTAAAATTAAAGAATAAAAAACAATTTTTTTTATTGATCGAGAATGGTTTGCATAGTTTACACTAATAAAATGGTTTGTAATCTAACCCGTCTCTTTTTTATTATTATACAAAATATATACACACACAAAGCGAAGCACACACTAGGCCTTTGTATGTCTAAAATTAATTCAAGGTTATTACTAAACGTTTAAATTATCGTTTTTATTATCTATATTTATATTATAAAGTATTTAATGAAAACTCTTAAAAATCATTTTTTATACATTAAACATTATTTATTGATATATATTACTTAAAAATCAAGATTACAATTAAATTGTATCTAAGGACAACTTATTAAAGTTCTATTTTTGAATTTATGTAACTAATTTACAGATAAATATAATCAAATAAATGATACACATTTCATTTTAAATATAAAAAACCTAAAATATACTTAGGATAATTACTGAGTGGTAACAAAATACTTAGTTATTATCTTTATAAAAAATTATATAAAAATTAAATACTTCGTTATTAAAT